CGACGACCACGCCTTCACGGTGTACAGAGAGCAGAGCGTGGTGCGTCGATCTCGTTTCGAGGAGACCCGGCGTCTCTGTCTTTCCTTCTTATTTCACCAAAGAGACGAGGCGAAGTAAAACTCAAAGTGAAACTCAAGGTGAAGGGAGGAGAAGGGAGAGAAGGAGAGAGCAAGATTCAGAAGAAGAAGAAGAAGAAGCGTATCGAACACGCCTCGGTTATTAGCCGGAGAAGCCGCGTGGCGTGAGTTTGACGATGTCGATGATGATGGTAGTGTTTCATTACTCTCTACGTGGAGATATCCGTTCGCGGATACGGTCGCTCGACGCTTTTGCAAGGTAAATCTTGTTTCTAGTACGTCCGCGTGTCCTTCTCTTCTATTTGGTGAACGGACTTCCGTCACCGTGGACGTTCCTCGTCGTGGTTCGATGCGTCGCAAAAAGTCGATTGCGCTCGGCTGGAACATGGTCATAACCACGCGCACGCACTTGTATGTATGTGCCTGTTGTGTTGTCGTCTGACGACGATTTCTCATTCCCCTTTATTCGTGCGCCGTGCGACACGTCCTATCTAAGTCGCGTCGCGTCGCATCGCGTCTTCTTACAGCCGAATAAATTCTCCTCGTACTGCCAATCGCACCAGCTTTTTTACTTTACATTGTATACTCGTATACGATCGGAAATGCGAGAGAGAAAGAGAGAGAGGAATGTCGAACGTTGTATACTCGATATCGTAATATTTTAATTTCACGTTGTGGCAACAGGCGACAGGTGTACGTTCCTCTCAGAGGGATTTCTTATAACGAACGAGGTTACCTGGGTTACCTGGCTAACTTCGTGACAGGCTTCGATGGATTTTATGGTAACATTGATAATTTACGATCAGGCTGGAAAAGCCGGCAGACCTCTTTCCTCTTTGCTGCCCTGAGCCAGGAAAGCTTTATCGGCCGTCGCGTCGCTCGTCCCGGTGCGTCGTCATTACCTTGATAACAGTGTGCGTGCACTTTTGAAAAGGAAGGTTTATCGGACCTGTTCCAGGAAATACGGCGACCAACACGTGATACTGGCGGGAAATCGAATCGTATCTCGATCGTGGCAGCAACGTGGCGCTAAGCCTGTTTCTTTGCCTCTTCTTTTCTTTCCTTTCCTTTCCTTTCCTTTCCTTTTTTCCACGGCTTCTTTTATTTTGTACGACTTTGTTTTTACCTCGGACAAGTATCGAGCTAGTATCGCGTGCTGGTATCGGATGACACACGCTCATCGAAATCAAAATTCAAAGAAAAGATCGCGATGTTTGCACTGCACTCGAGTCGAAGGTGCGGAATCGATTGCAACGATTCTTCGCCAGATAGATAAACGTGCGATGGACGGACTTTTGCTCTTGGACTTGTGATAAAGCAGTCTGCCATCGAAGCATCGAAACATCGAAGCGACAAAGTTTCGAGGAACAGGGAGTAACGATAAAATTCGCGATAATCGGGTGCCTTTCGTCGATCTATCCTTTGAAATTGAAACGCAATTTTAAATCGAATATCGTTTCTTTTCTCGAGCTCCGCTTTTCAATCACGGATTACCACTTGATGAATTATTCCGAAGCAATCGACTTCTTTTCCAAGACTTTTGGAACAAGCTATTGCGAATAAAAAACCAAAGAAATCCGATCTCGATGAGAATCTGTTGCACTAGTCGAAATAACTGATCCTTAGATCGAAGCCTATAAATTGAAAAATTCAATGAATGAAGCTTCGTTGCCCGAAGCTACGTATTCGTGCCAACGCAACATTATGCGAGGCTTAATAGAAACGCTTAACGTTCTTCCCAAATTACCAACAATATTAAGATATACGGGCGATCAACTCTCCCATTATCCGTCATACGATGGCGTCTAATATCATGGTTCGAGGTCTCGTTCAGTTTTCTTCTTTTCGAGCGACATGTCAAACCGATATGCTTCTACTATGCTATCGATAGTGGAGTAGCGCACAGCTACAAGTTTCGCAGCATCTCACTACGCAGCGTTTGTTCGGCGAGTTGAATGAAAATGAAAAATAAGAACGATGGTGTGTTGCATATCTATGGTGGAGGACAGATCAGACGAATAAGTGGAAGATTGTGCAACCTGTTGCTTCGAGAGAATTGGGGCGAGAGAAGCGAACGTTGGAGTGAGAGTCGGTCAAATTTGGTTGCGAATCGGTATAAGACGGTACATACCGGAGTACTATTCTGCCCTTGGATATAGCGATCACGATGGGGGCGAGTTTCCTTCTTCTCCTCGTGCTCTTTCTTTCTTTCTTTCAGTGATGCACGCTCTCGTTCTGTTTTTGGTTTTTCTTCATTGTTTATCTCTACTTTTTCTTTTTCTTCTTCTTGTTTTTATTTTTCTTTGTTTTTTTTTTTCTTATTCATCATCATCATCATCATCGTCGTCGTCGTCGTCGTCTTTTTCTTCTTCCTCTTCTTCTTCCTCTTCTTCTTCTTCTTCTTCTTCTTCTTCTTCTTCTTCTTCTTCTTCTTCTCTTCTCCTCCTCCTCCTCTCTCGCGCGGAATGACGAAGGTTGCTCTGCTCGAATGGCGTTCCAGACCATGTGCCATGTCGGCGACCATACGGCACGTGGATAATTATGGTGAAACGCAATGCGATTGTAACGCATGCGAGGGTGGACCGAGATAATGTTCGCGACGACAGATTGCCAGCAGAGCAAATACCAAAGGAATTCGAGGCATGGATTTGCCAAGGAGGTACGAGTCACGAGACGAGTGCGTGGATGAGTGCGTTCCTAAGAGAAACGTTCCGATGGAGAAACTAGAGAATAATCGTTGGATCGGACTTCGTTGTCGCGAACTAATCGAGGAAACTGACTCGCAAGTATACGCGATTAGTTGGCTGCTGGTTGGAGAAGGAACGGTGAAACAAACGGTGACTCGCGGTGGTTCAGTCTGTACTGGAGAAAGAAACAACGGGACAACGGAATAACGGAATAACGAAATAACGGAATAACGGAATGACGAATGACGAAAAGGGAAAATGGCAACTGTAGTCGGCAGTTTGGCCTACTTCTCTGCCAGCGAGGAGCAAACTCGGGCAAAAGGACGATGAGGCGGATGATGGTGGAGAAAAGGGCCATATGCGCCGAACGGGTCCGAACGACGCGACGGACAATTATTACGAGGGATGCTACGCTGCCTTCGAGGGGTAGGGCCGAGCGAAAATTGAATGGTGGGGCGCGTGGCTACATAAGGAAGCTACCCACCTCCGAAGGGTCGCAGTCCGTTGGAAATTTCGGCGACACGAACCTGCTCGTTTGCCCGTTGCTTGCCGATACGCCACGCTTATTCATATGGCTTTGCTCGGTTCTTTGCGATATATATATATATACATGTATAAGCGATCGTTGAAGTCGAGCTAGTGAACCTCGAGAAAGAGTGAACGAAAGTGATCGAATATACACACAC